CTCGCGCTGCGCCTGCAAGACATCCGGGGCTACACTGGAGCTCGTCTCTTTGCCAGCGTTCGCTCGGAGAGGGCAGGAGGATCAGGAGGAGGAGGATGAGGAGGCGAAACTAGAGCTCAGAGCGGTAGTCGACAGAGAAGAGCAAGGCGACTCTGGAGCGTTTGGGGTGGCAGAGCGTGGGGTGTGCGTCGCATAGTCCTGCCACTGCCCCACTGCGTTCGAAGCTAATTGGCGACGGCAGGGAGGGCATGCCTCGTCATCGTCGTCTATCTCTAAGTCTTCGAAGTCGCTGTCATCGGCCTCTGCGCTGAGCCTGAGCTTGCCCTTGTCGCCTGCCGGGCCAAGGATTATGCAGAGCGGCGCGGCGGCGATCGAACGCAAGCGGCACGATGAATTTGAGGTGGAAATGTCAAAACAAAATGCTGCCCCTTTCATAAACACATGACTCACGGGTATGATACATCAGGCCGAGACGACCACGGCCAAACCCCATTGATGAGATCAAGTCGGCACATACTCCTACAAACCAACGCGCACGCACGCGCGACAGACACTGATACCCATATGGCATCATGCACGTCAAACGGATACGCGTGCATGCGAACCTACACACAGACACACACACAGACACACACACACACACGCACGCACGCACGCACGCACGCACGTGTATTCGAATAAATGCACACAGCTGCACGCAATCCATGCTCACAAACGCACCGACACAACAACGACAACGAAAGCATCACGTGCCTGGGAACCATCGCGGCTACAGTCACATCGAAGGCGGTCGCCCAGACGGGCACGCGGGCCGCAACGCGAGCGCTGGGTCTCAGGGCCCATTGGCCAGACGGCCATGGTAAGGAAGCAAGCGTCCAAGATTCAAGTATGGCTACTTCGATGCTCTGGTCGGCAGGCAAATGGCTGCGGCTCTAGCCGCTCGTGCTCCAGATGCTGCCTGTACTGCTTGCCCTCCACCCTACCCCTCAGCTCGCCACATTTACCCATGTACAGTCTGTGAGTCTCACAGAAATTCCCCAAAGATGACTGTGAGTCTCGAAGATGACTGTTCAGGGAATTTCTGCCTCACATAAATTCCTTGAACAATCATCTTCGAGAGATGCCGCCCCCGTCGCAGCGGCGGCCAGGCGCTGACGTGGGCTGGCAAGGCGCAGTTTGAGCGCCGCGGCGGCCAAGCATGGCCCAGGCATGCCTCCACTGCCGCAGGCGCAGGGCGAGAAGCCAGAACGTTGCAGTGACAGACCGTGCAGCGGCCTCGGGACCCCAAAAGAGACATCACCTTCGCTGCCCCGATACGCAGCACGCGACACGTAGCGTGTGGACACGGAGCGCCTCGGTACGCGTGGAGCTTCAGCACGGGCATACTGGGGCAGCTGAGGACATCATTGTATGGTTCGTCATCGTCTGGTTTGGGGTATTCTGGGGGCCTGCAGCCGCCCGAGGCACCCCCGGGAGAGCGACCCGTGCGCTCACCCCGAAAGCCCTGCGGGCTCACCAGGCTCGACGGCGAGGCCCTGGGGCAGAAGCGGCGGGGCCGTCAAAGCCCACTGGCCTTCTTGAGAGCCCCCCTGCGGCTCCGGAGGAAGCGCATACGTAAACCTGGCGGCCCCGCTACGCCACACGCAGCCCGTAGCGTGTTGGCCCGGAGATCGACACGCAGATTCGAGCACGCAATAGTCAGGTCCGACGCGCCGAGTTCGCCAGATCGTGGGCCAGTACGGTGAGCCACCACGCGGCGCATCGACACAGAAGTTTTTTTAGCACGGCACGTGTTGCATCTCGAGATGGGCGCATGAGGGCAGCTGATTTTCTCCCCCTATGGCCGATGCATGAGGATTTGAGACCGTCGAACGAACGGTCAGAGAAGTACAGCCCAAAAAGGCGTGGCGTTGGAGCGCCCAGTCTCGGGAGCGCAGAGGGGTACGAGCGAAGGCAGGAGCAGGAGCAGGAGGGAGGGAAGTCAAGCAAGTCAGACTATCCTGCACCCTGGAGCAGTGACGCAGTGAGACAGCTACGTCTTGAGGGAGGCGGCAAAGGGGGAAGGAGGAGGCCTTCTCAGCTTTCTGAGACGGCCCGCCCTCTCTGCCTTCCCCCAAGCCAAGGGCGCGCCGCCGCTTCTTCTTGGATCCCTCGTGCCATCTTGACGGCAATGTTGGCCTATTCGAGGTCATATTGGAGCCACCTTGGCCCACCTCGGGCGCTCTAGCGTCTCGCGAGGAGGGTGGCGTCCAGGCCCAGGGGGCGGGGAGGGAGGACGACGCGGAGGGAAGGCTGGGGATCCGCAGCAACTGCAGCAGGAAGAGCACGCAGGGGAGGAAGAGGGCAACGACGAGGGCGAGAGCGACGCCGATCAGGAAGCGGAGGAGGAAAGAGAGGTTTTAGTCGAGCCCGAGCAGCTGCACTCCGCGATGCCGCCCCTGCGCCCCCCAGCGGAGGGGGTGCGGCCAAGGAGATCACGCGCAAGATGCGAGAGAATATGCTTGCGAAGGACAAGGGTCCTTTTCTTGAGGTCGGGCATGTCCTCTTACAGGCGGATTTTGAAAGAAAAATGACTTCAAAAAAAGAAAGGAATGAAAATAGTCCAGAACAGTCGAATAATCGTCCCCTAACGATTTTTTGACTATGTTTGAATATTATTCCTCCTGTTGAGGGGACATGCCCGACTTACTCCTGTTCGCAGGCGGCCTGCTGCGAGGGCAGGGGTCCTGTCCGCAGGCGCCCTGCCGCCAGGACGCCAGAGGCTCTGCAGGTGATCAGCCTCTGGCGGGGCTGGGCGAGGCAGGTCGCGAGGGTGCAGTGCGTGCGACTGGTTCCGATGCTCCCAACTGCCCACGGGGGAGGGGGAAGGCCAGAATCATACACGTCGTTCATTTATAATCGTGCTCCTTTGTGCTCGTTTCTAATTGTTCCTGGCCCCCCAGTGGCCAGGAAGAGGCCCAGGACAGCACAATTGGAAACGACAGGATCTCGGTCCCCTCCAAAAATCAAAGAACCTTCAAAGAATCCGACATGCACAGTGTGTATAACTCTTCAGCCGCCGCCGAGGCCCCAGAGATCCGGCGTCGCGATTTTTTCAATGCGGGGTCCCCGGACTCTCTCGACCCATTCCCCAGAACCGGTTTTTCATCCTGGGTCGTTTTTTGACGGTCCGGGGGCCCAGCGAGGGCCTCCAGAGGTCGAAAACCACGAAACACCTGCGTCTTGATTTTTTCAATGCGTTGGATCTCTGGGGCTGCGACGACGAAGCTGGGCTGAGAGGGGGGGCGGGCGGGGCGGGCGTCAGGCCCGTCGCCGCGCCTGCACGCGTCGGGCTGCGCAGCGCCGTCGGCTGCGCAAGCGCAGGTGCAGAAAGGCGTGGCCACGAGCAGCCTTCCACAAGAGACCCGGCCCTGAGACCCCAGCACTCAGAGGAGGAAGAGGTGCCCATACCTCTACCCTCTTCTCCTTTTCCCCCTTTGGGGCCTCCTGGGCCTCCCTCGTCGCCACCGCTGGATTCGCCTCGAATTCTAAGTCAGAGCGCACCCCAGAGAGGTCCGGGGAGTGGCGGTATCGGTACCTTTTGGTCTCCTCAAGCACGTCCATTGATTTCTCGTGTGGGGGCGTCGCGCTTCCCATCGCAAAACCAGCGGAACCGAAGAAACCCAGGGAAACCTCAAGGCAAACAGAGTGTTTCTTGGCATGGGTCTCCATTACGTGCAGTGTCTGAGGTTGGCTCATTGGTGGGCGTGGGCCAGCAGCCGTGAAAAAACACTCCGACCCAGCATCCCGCCATCGCGGGAAATTCCTCGCCTTCGGATGGCAGCTCAGAAGCGGGGTCGGGAAGAACTCGAGGGACCCATGCAAGCCCACGCCCACTGCCCCGCAGTCGATTGATGCCGATGCGTCTTCCGTGGTCAACCTTTTCTGCCCGAATTGCGCGTTGGCCCAGCCGTGTCCGCAGAGATTCGCGATTGAGAGATGCCGCCAACCATGTCGAATCGGACGCTGAAATTCGACAGCGAGCAAGCAACTCTGATGAGAACGAGGCTGTCTGCCATCCTGCTGGGGAGCGCCATTGCGCTCTGGAAGAATGTGGAGGAGGGCAAGAGGCGCCTGTTTGCGCACCAGTGCGAGGACATTCACAACCAGGGCGACTGGAAAAACCTGAATGCGAACACCGATGCCGTCGACAAGCTTATCGCCATTTCTCGCGAAGAAAGCCGTGTAGCAGCGCGCTGCAAAGGTGGTGCTCGAGACGTCCATGTTCCGAAACCATATCGTCCTTGACGCGAAAAATGTCCAACGCCAAGCCTACGAGCTGCGAGCCGTGAGCCCATCCCTCAGGAAACTCATGCGCGAAGACCTTTGCCGGCGCCCATCTAAGAAGGCCTACCCGTACCCGCGCATCCTCCAAGCGGCGCGCCGCATGCGCATCTCGAAGCCGACGGAGGGTGGCGAAGCTCAGCCAGCCCAGGAGCGAGCCCGCCGCTCGGGCCCAGGCAAGCGCTGCGAAAGGCACGCGCGTCAGGTGCGAGCCCAGGGCAACTCCCAGCCTCCCGAGGCCCAGGATGGACCTGGCCCCACAGAGCCCGTGACCGAGAATCGAGCGGCGCCGCGCTCTGCGTCTCGCAGCAAGGGCTCCCATCGACGCGGGGCCTGCCAGCTGAGGCAGGCGCGCTCGGCAGTCGGGTGCCGGGTGGGATGGACGTGCTCGCGCGCATCTGTGAGCACTCGGACTGGGGCGTCGAGTGCGCGAGAAACGGACTTCTCTGGCAGCAGCAGCAGCAGCGGCCGCAGTTGCAGCGGCAGCAGCAGCGGCAGCATTAGCAGCAGTAGTAGAGCGACGAGCACGAGCAGGAGGAGGAAGAGGAGGAGCAGCAGGATAAACAGTAGCTGGGGGATCAGGATGAGGATCCTGCGGATGCCCCTCTAAGAAATTTCGGCCCGAGGAAAATCGGCAGAACATATTGCTCCCCTGTGCGGTGGGGGTATTTTTAGCTCTTCGAGGGTGAGCGGACCCACCCGCGATTCGAATGTCATGCAGAGAGGCGCGGGCGGGCCCCCCAGGAACAAGCCCGCCGCCCTCTGCTCGCGATTCCCCTCCACGCAACCGCGCGCGAAGGCCTGCGCCCCACCGTCAGTCCAGGGCGACCGCGCAACGCCCATGACCTCCCGGCGTGCGGATACCGCCCCGCTGAGTCGCTCGAAGCAGGGGTCGACGTAGTGGACCATGGAGAGGTCGAGTCCCTCCAAGATGCCGAACACAAGGCCGCTGAGCTTGGCATCCGCCTCGGCCTCCGACTGCGGGCCGAAGGGGCCGCTTGCCAACTCGCCATCGGCGTCTTCCTGCTCATGCTCCTCCCGCGCGCGCAGCTCCGACGAGTCCTCGACTGACGAGTCGCCCGCCTCGCCGAACCCAACGCCCTCCGCGTCGCGGACAACCCCGACGACCTCGACGTCCACGAGGTCGTCCCGCACGCGGTGGCTGAAGCTCCTGTCCACTTCTTGATCGAACTCCTCCCGCGCGCGCAGCTCCGACGAGGCCTCGACTGACGAGCCGCCCGCCTCGCCGAAGCAAACGCCCTCCGCGTCGCGGACGACCCCGACGACCTCAACGCCCATGAGGTCGCGACCGTCCTGCACGCGGTGGCTGAAGCACCTGTCCGAGCCAGGCCCAGGAGGGGGGGCAGGGGGGTCCGCAAAGACCACGCCCTCCGCGCTCGACTGGACCCCGTCACTCCCCTCGCGAGCGGAAGCCGCCAGCCGCTATCCAGCTTCCAGGCCCTGCCCGAATGCCAGCGCGCGGCCTTCGGCCACCCCGTCGCGAACTGACCAGACCCCTGGGGGCACGGGGCTGCAGCTGCTGGAACGGGCGCGCCGCGATCGGCTGCCACACCACCGCGGTGGGCTGCAGCACACCGCCCGCGTCACCGCCTGCTTCTTGGCTCTGCACCTCAAGCGCCTCGCACACGGGTCCAGACGCGCCCCCGCCAAAGGGCGCCAGGCGTGGCCCCGCAGCCGCCCGCGCGGGGTCCGCCCTCGAGGCCCTCGCAAACCCGCAGGGAGGCGGCTGAGCAGCATGCCGCGCCACTTTGCGGCGGACACGGGAGCTGCCACAAACTCTCCTTCCTGCTGCCGCCGCTCTCAGGGCTGGGCGGGATGCCGCCTCGCGATCCCTCCACGAACCGGGCCTGGCCCGTTCCCTGTCCCCAACGGCTCGGCGTAGACCAGCTTCACAGGCCATCAGCCGCCTGCGTCTCGCCTCACGCCGCGCCGCGGTGGCTCCGAGCCGAGCTTCTTCCTCCATGCGCATGGGCCGCCTCTCAGGCGGGCAGCCCCCCGCCGCCATCTCTTAGCCGCCCGCGCCGCGGTCGCCCGAGCAGACTTGAGCCAAAATGGCTACGGAACGGTGGGGGTATTTTTTTTATCTGTGTGGGCGCCGAGCGGGCTCGGCGGATTCTTGCATAAATTCAAGGCGGAGAGGCGGAGGGCCGCGCGGGCGCTTACAGCCGCCTGCCGAGGCCGCCTCAGCCCGCGGCGCGCGTCCCCGCGCGGCCTGCGCGGGCGGCCGCAGCCGTCGCGGCTCGCCCGCGCTCGCGGGCCGCCGCTGCGTCCGCGAAGCCGTGGGCTCCACGTACACCCTCGAGCCCTGGGCGGGGCCGCCGCGGCTCGGCGGCCTCCTCCCGCGGGGCCGCCGCGGCCAGCCGCCGCGTAGCCGCGGCGCTCTGCGGCGCAGCCGCCTGGCACCCAGCGCCAGCCGCAGGCGGTGGGGGCTGGGCGGCTGCTGGCGGCCGCTGCGCTGGCACGGGCGTTGCCACGAGCGCCTGCCCCTCCGCGCCGTGGCCCTGCCTGGCCTGGAGCGCCGCCGCCCGGCGCCGGCGCGTGCACTCCGTTGGCGAGGCCAGCGGCGCGATCGGCTCCTTCGACGCTGGCAGGATGCCGCGAGCGAAGTCCGACCGCGCCTGGGCTCTGGATCTTGCACTTGGGCTGCCCAGCCGCCGCGCTGGCCCCGCACTGCTTGCCCAGGCCGCGGTGCGCGTACCTGGGGAGGCGGCAGTACATCCAGCAAGCCGCGCAGACCAAGAAGGGCTCGGAGTCGTCTCCTTCGACTCTCGACTCCATGAGGAGGTGCCCGTTGACCCTCCATCCCGCTGGACGGGCTGCATCAGCCGCCTCCGCAGTGGCTGGTCCGCTACTCGCCGCCTCCGCCGCCGCCAGGCGCGGGCAGGGCGCGGGGGCTGAGGCCTCGCGGCGCCCCGGCTGCACCTGCGCCCTGCGCTGGGCGACACGTCGCAGGGCATCCGCGGGCGACTCGGCCGAGGCGGGGCGGCGCCTCATGGGCGAAGGGCGCGAGCTGGAGGCGCCAGCAGCCGCCGCCGCTGCCAGGGCCGCCGCCGTGGCGAGGAGGGGGCCGCCATCAGCCGCCGAGGCCTGCGCCTCGGCGTAGCCACCGCAAAGCTCCGCGTCGATCTCCTTCACGTTGCCATCGCCATACAGCGCGACGTGCTCCGCGTCGCGTGGCGCCTGGCGAACCTGCCGCGGGCGGCGCACCAAGGGGGCAGCTGGGGGCGGCAGGCTGCTGTCTGCAGGCCGCGGCGGCTGCCCAGGGCCTCCGCCAGCGGCGTGCCCGACAGCGGCGGCGGCCACGCGGCCCTCGGGGAGCTCGATGGGTTCCGAGATGCCGCTGCCGCGCACCAGCGCCGCGCCGTCAGGAGCAGCCACCAGCGCGTCCAGCTCCGCGATGCCAGCCGCGCGCACCTCCACGTCGTGCTTCTTCCCGAACTGGCCGCGCCCCTGGGACTGCGACTTCGGTGGGCTGAATCCACCTGTCCCAGGGGCGGGCTCCGCCGCGGCGGCGAACAAGGGGTCGGCCTCGCCGTCGAGCTCCGCCGCAATGTAGGGGGTGAGGTCCCGCAAGCCCGACTCCGTGTCCTGGACCTCGAACTCGGCGGCGAAGCGCGCCGCGAAGCGGGTGCGGGCCTGGCAGCCCTGGAGCAGGCGGGCCCCCTCGTCGGCGATGGCGTGCATCGCCGCGCCCGCCTTCGCGAGCTGGCCCACGAGGCGGTTGCCGAAGAGCTCCACCTCCATGAGGTCGCCCCGCTCGACGGCCGCCCGCGAACGGGAGGGGATGAGCTTCAGGGCAGACGGCGCCGCACCCCTCGCCTGCACCACCCACTCGCCAACGGTCGTGAGAACCGCCACCGACCAGACCGCGCTCCTGATCATCAGGTCGTTGTTGACGCAGGAGCCGTCCGTGAAGACGAGGGTGCCCGCGGGCACCACGAGTGCGCCCGCGTCCCAGCCGCGCGAGCGGCGCGCCCCGCCAGGGTCGCAGCGAGGCCTCTGCACCTGGTACTGGGCGCCGACGAAGAGGTCCTAACAGAAGAGCTCCTCGTAGCGGTGGCCCATCAAGCTCACCAACTCGGCAGTTCGCTTGAAACGGTCGTGGTCGGTCCGCGCGTAGAGCTTGCCGTCGAGATAGACTGAGGCTGCCCCAAAGCCAAGCTGGCGGGCGAGCGCGAGCCCCAGGTTGTGTGGGTAGACCGCCATGTCACCGCTGTTCGCATCCTTGCCCCAGACCAAAATGGGCTGGTGGTCCTTCTCCCACTTGACACCGTAGCGGCGGCGCACCCTGCACCAGATGCGCAACCACTTGCCCTTGAGGCCGATCGGGCGGCGGCCTCCGTCTGGCTTCCCCAGGAAGAGGAACACCGTGGTGAAGAGGGCCGTGGGCTGCGGCTGCAACACCCAAGCCGTGAGTACCTCTGCCATCATATCGGCGAAGGGCCTGCCCTGGGAGAGGACCAGCCGCGGGTGGAACGCATCCCAGCCCAAAGCGGTCTGCTTCGGGAGCGACTTCGCCGCCTCGAGGCTGTCGCCCACCGTGAACGGGGGCAGCACCATGGAGCAGATCCAATCGGCTGGTCTGGTCCTGTGCTCCCTATCGGCTCCTTTCCAGAGGGCCTTCCACTCTATGCGGATCTGGTTCTGGGCTTGCTGGACTACAACGGGGAGCGTCAGCCAGTCGGGGCAGTGCGCGATCACCGAGTCCAGCACCTGATCGCGGTCCTGTATGACATCGCGGGCTCCTTTCGCCCCTTTCGTCGAGGCCATGTCCACGTAGTCCATCCAGCGCAGCCTGGCCGCCTTGGCTTCTTCTTTGCAGAGTCTCGCCGCCGCGCTCTCGATCATCTGCAGGAAGGCCTGCCCTTGCACAGAGGGCTCTTGGATCACCACAGTCAGCGAGTCCAGCTTAGTGCCTTCAAACATGGAGCAGCCCGCCTGCTCGAACTTGGGCCCCAAGCTCTTGGCCACCTGCACCAGGTGCTTCAGGTAGCCCCCGTGCCCCTCAGGGGGTGAGCTGATGGCAGCAGCCGCACTGAGCTGCCTGGCGATCCTCCCGAGGCAGCGCCAGCACTTGGTGAGGGGGCTAAGCTTCCTGACAGCCTCCGTGCGCTGCAGCTTGGCCAGCTGGAGGGGCTTGGCCTGCGGTCGCCCTGGCTGGGGCTGGGCTGCAGGCTTCGCGGCTGCAGCGGCGCCCGCGCGGCCGCCAGGCGGGCGGCTGCCCGCCGCCTTGGGGCTCCGAACCTCAGGGGGTCTCACGCCCTCGCCCTTAGCCTCGCCAACTTGAGTTGGGTGCCCACTATTCCGTATGGGCCCCTGGCGGGGCTGAGGACTGCCAGTCCTTCGGTCGGGCCCATCCAAGTCCGCCGCAGCGCTTGGCTCTGTCCTGCTACTGAGCGCCTTGAACTTGGAACCATGGCGCGCATCGTCGGAGCGTCGGTCCTGGCGCAGCAGCGGCCCAGTGAAGGGAAGCCCTTCCCCAGCGTCGGCCTCGACGTTGGCCGCCAGGTAGGCGTGCATGCCGCCGCTCGGCGCCGCCTTCGCCGCGGGGCGGCTGGGCGCCGCCGCCTCTGCCTCCTCAGCCCCGTCTGGGACGGGCGGCGCCGCGCTTACGGGGCCGCCGCCTGGCAGCAGGGTGCTACCCGCGGGCCTGGCCGCTGCCAGCAGCAGCGCCAGCAGCAGGTGGAGGGGCCGCCGCAGCAGCCTTTTGGTCGGCAGCGCGCTGTCGGGCCGCCTCGTCTGCCGCTCGGCTCTCCACGGCGGCCGCTGGGGGGGGGCCTGCACCAGGCGCAGCGCCTGCTGCTGGGGCGGCGGCAGCAGCAGGGGCGGCCGCCTGTCCTGCTGGCTGCGGCGGGGCGGCCGCGCCCCGCACGGGGGTGCCAGCGGCCACGGCTGCTGCAGGCCCCTCCTCGGTGCGCTTGCGCTTCTTGGCCACCTCCTCCTCGATCTGGCGCTTGATGCGCTGCTGGTGCTCCTGGCAGTTGCGCTCGAACGTAGCCTGCGCCCCCTGCATGATCTGGAGCCCCTCGTCACAGAGGCGCCTGAGGGTGGCCTGCGCCTCCTCCTCCAGCTCCGCGAAGTTCTCGAATGACTCCGCATCGAAGTTGAAGGCGAGCTGCCTCGCTCCATCGGGCTGGGCGCCCACGACACCAGCCGCTTGGGCTCGCTGGCGGAGGAGGGCGTTCTCCCCCTCTTTGGCCTCTGCGAGGTTGACCGCCGCCTCGTCGCGCCAGCCTCGGCACAGAGCGAGGTGGCCCTCCGCCGCCACGAGCGCGTCCGCCGCCTCATCGAGCTGGCGCTGGAGGTGGATCCGCTTCGCCGTGGCCGACTGCAGCCTCTGCTCGAGCGGCTTCGGAGCTGGGGCGACCGCGGGCGCGACGCAGCCCCGCGCGTCACGGACTGCCTCCTGCAGCCTGGCCGCGATGGCGGGGTCCCCGCAGGCGAGGAGCGCTTCGAGCTCGCTCTCGGGGGGGGGCGACCAGGGGGCCTTCGGAAAGGCGCCTCCGCCACGGCCACCCGCGCCCCCGCCGCCGCCACGGGAGGCTGCACCACCACCGCCGCCACGGGAGGCTCCTCCACGGCCCTTGCCGCCCTTGCCGCCCTTGGCGCCATTCTTCGGTGGGCCTCCGCTGCCGCCTCCTCGCAATGCGGGTTGGGAGCCGCCGCCGCCGTCGTCCGCCCAGACCCCGACGCGGGGCGAAGGCTTCGAGGGCGCCAGCTCCAGCCCGATCCCGCACAGCCAGCACTTCGCATTCCTGCGGAAGTTCCAGCGGAAACGGCAGCCCGTGCACACGACGAAGCCAGGCTCGGCCTTCGGCCCCATCGCCGGAACGGGCGGGCGCGCTGCTCAGCCGCGGGCGTGCAGCAGGCAGGTGCCGACGGGGGCGGACCCGCCGACACAGAAGAAGCCGTGACCCGCAGGTCCAGGGTGCTGCAGTGGCAGCTCACACTTGTTGGAAAGGAAGGTAGCCTCAACGCAGAACCTCCCTCGCGCTCGCGCGGTGGGGGTATTGGATAAGGAACCCTTCGATAAGGAATCCTGGGTCTGGAAGCCAG